AAATAATAAATAAAAATTCAAAAAATCACTAAAAATTTTAAAAATAATTTTTTAATTAAACCAAAATTGATTTTAATGGTTATTTTAAAAGATGTACTGATAAAATTCGTATTTCTAATTTAAAAATCTAAAATTTCAGTTAATCAATAATTTGGTTTCCGTTACAACCAAAATTAAATTATATTCACCCTTATCCAAAACTATTTTGGTATAACTATAAGTTTTCTATAAAAAAAAAATAAAAATTGAATGGATTTTTCCCCTGTGCTTTGAAATCCCTACGGTTTCAGAGGCGGTAGGCTTCTCCCTCAAGATTTCTCTCTGGCATAGGGGCAGGCTTCTCCTTCAAGATTTCTCTTTGGCATAGGAGCCCCTTTTTTCTTCTCTATTGCTTGTCTTTCTCCTCACGCTTGCCCTTCCCTTACGTCTTTGTGTTTTTCCTCTCAGTTTTGACTCCTTTTGTTCAAATTTGGAGAGTGCTTTCAGATCTGGGTTTAGATCTATGACTTGACGTGTTGCAACGATAGTGAACAGTTGTGTGTGGGTTGTGGTGGAATTGAAGGATGAGGTTTGGTAGTTCCATTAGCGATTTGGGGATGGTAGGTGGCAAAATTGAAAAATTGCTCAGTCAGGTTCACCTTACCGTGGATGCAGATGCCTTTCTTCCCTTGATATTGATATGGAAACCATATGATTCCCAGGTCGGAAAAGTTGTGGTTGGTGGGAAAGATATTTTCCTGGCAAAGGTTTCATGCGAGGGTGATTGGTGTTATGGATACACCGATGGATCATTTTCCTCCACTTGCCGGTTAAGAGTCCCTCTGGTTGGACAAAGCATTGTAGTGCCGAGAGACACTACATCGCCAGATCTCTTATGTTAGGTCGGGTGGTACAATAGATGTGATTGCTAGTAGCATTAGAAAGCTCAAATGCATTCTTTTTATATTGTTATATAACTTTATTATATCCCTTTAACATATACTGATATTTAGAGATTCTCAATACCTAATTATCTTATTTGTGTAGAGCACTAAACTCTATATATTAGCGTCATAAGTCTTTTTTACTTTTTTTAAAAAAAAAAATTAACTTATACAATAAAATATAGTTTATATTGTAATTGTTTTTTAATTAATAATACAACTAT